AAAAAACCAACCGAACTTTTCACGCCGACGATAACGGCTTTGCATTCGGAATCGTCAAAGAAACACGCATTACTAGGTACCTATATTATTACATTATACAGTTGCTAATACTTTCCATAAAAAAAAGTTTCAAAACCCGTATAAGTATATATTAACGTTTTTTTTTTTTTTTTTTTTTTTTTAAATATATTTTATTAATGTCGCGGGACTACCGGGATCGCGTACATTATTTTATACGGGTACTTACACAAATTTTATATCGGCAAATTAACCGTACTCGTTAATACGAATTTGATTATTTTATTTACTTATTTTATTTCACTCGTTTCGCGATTTCGGTTGTATATAGTAATTATTATATAACGTCTATAGTTTTATTTTCAATAAATTTGTGATTTTTAATAATTTTTTTAAAGTTTAGGCAAAAGTTGGTACCTGTAATAAATTATGCAGCAGACTGCAATCGCATTCGTTAATTGATTTTTATTAACATTATAGTTAATTGACTGTACACTTTTTTTTCTGAATTTTACAATATTATTGAAAATCACGAATTTAATTAAAATTAAATCGATACGTCCAAATTTTCAGAAAAATCAAACTTTATGAAATGGCAGTATTCAATTGTTTTTAAAATAATAAAAGTTATTTTTCTAAGTCTTTTACCAAAACATATACAATTAATCGGAAATTGGCCAGGTCGGTTACAGACGGGGATTTAATGTATATTTATACAGTAACGATAAACTACTGTAAACAAAAAAAAAAATTCTGTGCGAATTTCAGTTAATAGTGTTACTTTGTCAACAATATATCACAAATGTCATATTATGGTAAAATGACTACAATAATTTGCGTTTCCGTAACACCATTGGTTGTTTAATAAAGATTTTAAAATAATTACAACTTAACAATAACAAAAAATAAATGTTGCCAATGACAACCTTATTTTTAATCTTTCAATCTATTTTAACCTAAAGAACCAGGCTTTTCTCATTATCTCGAATATCAATGAGAATTTAAAAAAAATGACTTCTTTAGAGTACCAGAGAACATTTACTTTCAGAATAGGTGCTACCCTTGAAAATTGGAGTATGATTTCTGGTAGAAAAACGGTTCACATAAAAAAATAAAAAAATAATAATAAACATCACTGTAAAACCAATTTATTTCTCATTCCATTCAGAATCTAAAATCAAAAAATGATCGTTTTGCTTTATGAAACAGCTCATAGCTATCGACGAGTTTTTAATATAGACAAATCGTATTTTGTTTAATAATATTATACATATTCGTACGACATTAAGACTTTCAAGAGTTATAGATCAATATTAATTTGTATGTTTTCCAGTATCTATAAAACTATTTTGAAATTGTCGGGCTATTTATTTTTATTTAATAGATATTGAAATCAAATCTTTTTTTTTTGGTGGAATAGTGCAAGGAGGTCTAACGTGAAGCAAAACAAATAAAACTATTATAATAATTATGGTATTTACGTTAGATTTTTGTGATTTCTGGTAATACATTTATTTGTCGATTTTTATAGCATAAAATGTAAAATACATTTTAGGAATAATATTGCAGATATTATAATACCGGCTGTGATTGAATCGATATGGTTCTATGGGGAACCGCCGATGGTATTTCAGTATTTACCTATCGTAGGATATTGTAAAGTTAAGTTTGACTCTAGTCATAAGGTCGCGCGTTGTCCCTTGCGGTGGTTCTACACTTTATTTTACTTTTGCATATTCACGTAATCGAGTTTGAAATTTTCATGAAGTTATGGAGGAATACAAATAATATACAACGTGTTTCTAAAGAACTTTTTGTGGTGTTTTTTTTTTTTTTTTACTCCTGTATAAGTAAATGCATACTCATATTTCAATATTGGAACAGTGGGTAAAGTGATGGAGGTACGGAGGTCGGAGGGGTGAAGTCACCCTTCTTATTTAAGGTAAAATTATCAATCCTCTTTAGTTAAGTCTTCAGGGTCCGGGGGGACGCTTTAGTTATTGTCACTAAGGTATTTTTAATGACGTTTTAAAACCTCGAATTAGTTTTGTTAAAAATAAATTCCTTTGTACAACTTATATTGTACGTAATTAAACTTTATTTTACGTTATTTTTACTGAGCCGGCATACATGTGTGATAATATTTGAGGGGGTACAGTTTATCATTAAAACTTATTAGTATAACATGTTTATGAACAAATGTGTCTGAGAGAAAAACATAGAAGTCTTGTTTCCATGCTCGGTTTCCTGAAAGTTTCTTTAGGCTTCTTTAGTTAGTTCGCAGAAACTTCTATCAATTTTTGGTAAATATGGTTCCCTGAATATTTAAAATCATCTTCGCCAAAACGTATTAAATATGTTTATCAATTCTACTCCATTTTCAATAATAAAATTCATTAAGCCCGAACCCTACAGTTTTGATTGGCTGTTCACCGCGTTTTTGTCAACGACTCCCTTTAAACAATTTCCTAAATTAATCGACGACTGAGGGGTGGGGACTCTATTTCTTTGTGTTTTTAAAATACTTTTCAACTGTGCGGGCGAAGTAAAATAATTTTCGCAAAACAAATTTAACACGCGGTTAAAATAAACGAGGAACGAACATCTTTTTATTTGATTCGTTACCGATAAATGACGAAGAAAATAATAATAACAAATATTTTTTAACGGCGTGCGAACTGCAGTAGTCGTTCTAGACGAGTCTTAGTGTTATAATAAATTCGCCTTTACTAAACAAACGTAATATTATCATTACGAAAACCGTCGAGTGCACAAAGTACAATTACTTGTGGTTCATTTGACATTTATGAAAAAATAAGGGTTGTTTTTCCAAATGTTGTCTGTGTTCAAAGTTGTTTTCGTATACGGTGCAAAACGGAAAATTATTATTATTATTATAACAGATATCTGTGGCGATTAAAAATAAAAAAAAATAGTGTAGGTACAAAGTTAACAGACTTTTATTCAAATTAAATCCTATCAAATTAAATGGATTATTATAATTATTATTATTATTTTTTTAATTTCAAGTAGATTATATCTCATCGAATCCAAGAAAATTATATATACATGCGTTAATTCGGTAAAAAAGAAATTAATTTAAATAAATTATACACAGGTACTATTAGAATTTTTTTTCTTTCGTGAATTATTCGGTACTCAAACGCCTGTAAAACCACTTTAAATATTAATCGTAAACCATAATAAGTACCTGTCCCGTATCTTTGTGTTTTATTTTATATCCGATTAACCAAAACCATCACGGTCCACGGGAGACTGAGATTTAGAATATTATCGTATATATTTAGTAGATGGATGAAAAAAAAATAATACGTTTACCCACCGTTTATGATTTCAGAATTTCGTTATAATACGTGAGTGTATTGATTTCTCAAAATATCGTATTAAAATACGATGGAATTGTAATGCATATGAAGGCGGACTGTGAATTTAATGCATTATAAAACCTTATAAATACATTTATAATTCCTAAAAATGTTAAATTGATTACCTAAACCTATACACTCTCTAGATCCTATCTACTACAGATAGGACGTAACTGATTATCGCGATTAGCCATCTTACCGAATCGCGACTAATCAAATGTTATACTTACATACTCGTATGCAGTTTACGTTCAATAAAATAAATCGAGAACAGAAAATTAAAGTGTATGACATTATGACGTATATATGGCCCTTGTATATTAATTATTATTTTAAAATGAATACAAATAGCGTAAAATGAACAAAAAAGAAAAAATGGCCCATAAAAGGTAAAAAAAAAACAACCTAAACAATTTATAACAGCGAAAAATGCAAAATAAAAGATTCACAATTGAATTTGTTATAACGCGATTCAGATTTTGATTTATTAAGAAAGCTACGTTTTACAATCGGCTGAAAAAATTCACGACCTTACATATAACTCGCCCGCGGATATAGAATGTTTCGAAGTAACAAAATCGTCGACGTAGAAGAAAAGGTATCTTTTTATTATTTTATTATTTTAATTATTTTCAATTTCGATTTTTATTAGATTTTTCTTTTATTACGAGGTATTGTAGAAATACAATTATTCAACGTTCAAATACTTTTATGATAATAGCATAGAAATAAAAACACCTTATAAAGAATGTAGACCTTATAGAGTAAAACTACTATTATTGTTGATATAATAATATTATTATATTCAATTACTCGGATAATTATTTTAATTTTTTTTTTTTATTCGTGACTTCTAGCAATCTTATAAGTCAATGCGGATTTAATATTACGTTATAGCAGTGGCGACCAACTATGGCTCACGAGATATGACAGCCAGCCGGGAAATATGGAAAAAAAACATCTACTGTAAATAATAATAACTGGTAATAAATAAAAGATATTCGAAATAAAACAAAAATCAAAATATGTCAAATAGTGGTGTCAACATGACGCGGAATTATTGTAATAGTTTATTTGATAATATTCGCTTCGATTCGGTCGACGGATAACCGAAATGTTTAAATGCGATTAAACAACACGATCACTAATCAAAGCGTACCTGAAAAATCTACCTGATATCATCGTATCGTTTGGTGCACTTAAAATATTGTACAGTTAAAACGGTTGTTATTTATTTTTTCATTACGGTATCGTGATCGTAGACTTGTGTACAGAATTTTATACACAGACAAATATCACATCAACAACTTTAACATACTGTTTAATTTTAAACAATCAAATTATAACTTACAATCCGTTCAATGGCGATGCAAGAACATTGTGACCTTATTATTTAGAAACTTTATATTTTGTAAACCTTATTGTATAATTAATATTATGAAAGAATGTAAAACGTCTTTTTTTCTTTAAGTGAATAATTGTGTTTTTTATTCCATACAATTTTAAATACATGGTATTTAAATTATACATAACATATTTTGTGAAAATATAAATATTATATTAGTTATCAAGATGAAAAAAGAAAAAATACAATAACTATGAAAACAATTTCTGTTTTAAACCCCACTCCATTTTTGAAACTGCCAAATCTTCTTTGTCCGACGATAACAGCGGCGATTCGATATATTGTGGTCCGTACATTTCACACACATCGTATCCTCTCTCTTCCTTTACGTGTGGTAAATAGATGGAAGACGTCATTGAATAATTTGCTGACGGTTGAGAGGGTGGTGGTAACATTGGCGAGTAGCTGGATGTCAGAGGTGATGTATTTAGTAGATTACCCGTGCTCTGCATATTCATCGAGCACTTTGCTAATTGAGTAGTTGCAAATATTTTGATTTGAGTGACATAAGTGACATTTTGTTTCGGCATGTTCGCTACGATATTTGCATGTACGCTATTTTTTCATCGTGAAGATTTTTTTATGAACATTTGTATTTTGCTCATATTCGATGGCAGTGTTCTCATTTTGGTAACTCCTTCATTTATATAACGGCCAATCTGGTCGAATTGTTTTAATACGGGTGGTAGACTGATGGCGGTTTTTCGTGCGACTGTCTCGGAAATGCACCATTAAAAACTTTGAAGTGCGAATAAATCCTGTCTATTTAATATGATACGGCAGCCGGTCTCGGTTTTTGTTTCCATTACAAGGACGTTTTTCTTTTTGTACAGACAATGTGTTAAGTTGAGTATTGCGGTTTTTAGAAATACGTGTGTCTTTTATTTCGGTGTGTCGAGTATGATTGACAGGATTTCGTCTTTCAGTGAAAATATACGCGGTAGAATAGCTGTCGTTATATTAACGTACCACGACGGAATTATTATTTGTACTTTGACGGCGAACATGTCTGTCGGGTCGGGTCGATGCCTATATTCACGAACTTACGTTTTGTGAGGCTCATAGTATAGTTATTGCAATCGATTAGGTCCACTGGCGATACTGGTGCATCGTACTTGTATAATTGATTCTTGTTTGCAGTTACGTTTATTTCATTTGAAGCAGTTATATTTTAAAATTTTTATAAAAATTGTTGAACACCTCGTACAATATTTTAGTCGGAGAAATGAGCACTGTTGGGCGACATGCTGTTACGACTGTGAGACGGATAATGATTCTGATTATCATTTACTAGTACTTTGACGAGATGAAATGTTTACATTTATGATGGGAGGTAAGAGACCTATCATAACCTGCGCAGACATGACACATGGTTAGAACGTCTTGTCGATAAAAATCCACTGTCTCGTATCCGTGATGGTGTCCCTTCGTTACAAACTGTGCATCCGAATAACGATAAGGTTATATAATTATACGAAAAATCACGACCTTTGTACCCGCATGTGCGATGCACACATCGATGTGTCGTACGATGTATTAGTGTTTAGTATTAAAAACGGCGATGTATTAATGGCTTTATATATAGGTACTCTCATAATCATGTTACCGATGTGTCTTATGATGTACCGATACATCGTATGAAATTTAAATAGTATTAAAAACGGTGACACAAAATATTAATGGTTATACACATGCAGGTACTCTAATAATTATGTGTTTTCGATGTACGACTCGTGTGTAATCAATGTGTCGTACGATGTATCGATACGTTGCATTAAAAACGGCGTTTTAAAATACTATTATCGATGCCCACCAAGAATATATTGCATTATTCGCTTAAAAAATACACCGGCTGGTGATATATGTATATGGTTCTATTATTATCAACGAACATATTTTTTCCGTGGACGGTCATATAGGTATTACGGTGATTGTGCGCAGGGAGATTCAACGACAGAGATTCAGTATGTGTGTGTGTAGGTAGATGTGTATGTGTATGCATGTGTATATGTTTATTCGTATGCGTATGTGATCTTGATTGTGGCTCCCGTAACCCGTACCCGCACCTGAGCATGATTGTGTGACCAAAACACACGTGTACGTAGTCAATAACGTAAAGAAAAAATATAAAAAAGTATTTTGAAAAAAAGGGGGATGGGGGAAAATATAGGTCGATAAAGAGGTGGATGGCGGCGGCACCATTCACTCGCTCCATGATTTCGGGTTGTTTTGTTATAAGTATAACACTAGCTTATGCTCAGAATCGGCTTAGGATAGGCTTAGCGTGATTGTGCAAGATTTGAGCATGCTCTCGAACAAGATCATGCACAAGTATGTACCCGCACAAGATCGTAGTTGGGCGGCCATGTTATAGGTATAGCTCCCACACAAGATCTTTATTAGATCTGAATTAGAACCGCACTTTTCATTCTACTGCTATAAAAAAAAAAAACCTATTGCGGCTAGCCATAGCTATCATTGCAATAATATTATAGTTTACTAACGTTGTAAATCAAAAAGAAAATTGAACGTGACCCTGATGAGTTGAATATACGTGTGGAAAGATCGAAGGGACCCCTTTTCGGCAAATCCGCTACTGTCCGTGACTTCGATATACTCGAATAAACTTTAACCGACCTTTCTTTGATTTATAATCTCGACTTTTAAGTTTAAGAACTGAAAAATTACTGTTATACTTATACATATACCTACCAATACCAAATGTGTTCATTTCATAATAATGTTCAAACAACTTTATCGCGTTGCCAATACCTACCGTTTTGCAGACCGGAATACACGAAGCGTATAATAAAAGTTCTAAAACTCTAATCTCCATGACTGTATTCTCTACGGCCAGGAGAAACTGCAAGATCGGTGAATCCGTACCATAACATTTCTGGACACTGAAACCCACGACTTGAACAATGAAAAAAAAAAAATCGTGCACCGTCAGAGTTCAATTTCTATTACTATTGGCATCTGCGGAGAGAGGGAAAATCCACTACTGAGAAAATCGTATAGTAAATTTTTATTCGACCGACTCGGACATTTGAACACCACTCAATAAAGTACAAATTGTCATTATAAATACAATTTTGATCGAAAATAAAAAAAAAAGAAGAAGCCTGTGCATATTGCTCGTTTAGTAAAACTACAGTTATTAACTTGAGATTTCTTTATTATATGCAAAAAAGTATATGAACTCCAAGTACGAACACTATACACCTATACTTGTTGTTTCGATTCTAATTTTTGTGAAAATTTGTGTAATAATTATGATGTTTTTTTTATTTCACTGATGACATTATTATATTTTTTTTTTTATCGTATATCACTCTATTTACAGTGAGGAAAAATATTCAGGAATTTGATAGCAATATTGACGTGAAATTGTATTGGTGAATTATTTTTCGCTCTAATTTAAATTTGTAAGCAATGGTTTTTTTTTTTTTTTTTAGGCAATAACATAATATAGCATATTACTAAGTTTATTACTGTAATTGATTATTTTGTTAAAATTGTTCCAAGTTCATCAAAAGTTACCGGGTAAGAGAATGGAGATGGTGGTTGGGAGATGAAGTCGAATTCGTTCGGAGAACACGGACGGAGTGAGTACAATATGTTGGTATTTCGAATTTCAAAAGTAAGTTTACACAAAAGTTAGGAGTAAACAATAATCGCATTATATATTTTCATGATAATAATAACATGTGTGTTTATACATCGGATAGGCGGCGAGGTAGACACAGATTGTTTTGGACCATTGACGTACGGGGAGCTTGCGATATTTCGCGACATCATATTTTATGATACAGGATTTATTACATAAGATAATATTATAATTTATATGCTCTTGTGTCAATTCGGTACAATTTATTTTCGTAGGCCACTCGCCGTCTTTTGTATAAACTTTTAAGTTCACGCCAAACCGTGACGAGTATATTACGGCGTTATTAAAAAAAAGATAAAAAAAGTTGATACTGCAACTCGTGGGTAGACCGCTGCTGTGCAGTCGGGATAACAAGTAGGTTTCACAGGATAATTTAGTTGTGCTACATTTTTTTTTTTTTTTTGTTGAACTGCTGAGTACAACTCATAATGATCCTCGTGTTAAATTTCCGAGAAACAATTTTATCCGAAATTCGAGCACGTCTAAAAAGTTATTATACCATATACGTATTCAACGATGGAAATAAACGATGATTTTTAACCGAATTACAATGTAATTTTTTAATTTTATTGTTTTCCGCCATTTATTCCCGGATTTTCCCCAGTTATTACGAACACTTCTGGGAAAATCAAAAATTGAACTTCGAAATGAATCGACTAGACAGATTTTGCCACCAGAAAGCACACCTGAAGTTGACCAGAGGAACAAGATTTTTACATAGATAAGGCGATTAAAGACAGAAAAACCATACACTCGCACACACCCACATAGTAATTATACTAGAGACCTTGAGTGAAAACGAGAATTAATACAAGTACGTGATAACGGAGTCCACGTACAAATTAATGAAAAATACGTGTACTTAATACACGTTGTTTAGCGTTAATCGGGCGAATACGTGAACACACGTGAAAAAAAAACGTAAAATACACAAATACGAATATACGTATACGCGTACACTTGAATGATGACACGTGTACACAGATGTTTAAAGTACACCGTTACATAGATTTAAATGTTAATTTCACGTGAACACGTGAAATAGGGAACTCCAAAATATAACAATACATTCCTCGCCGCGCTCAGAGCCTAAAGACTAATGAAATTTCGTTTTTTTTTTAACGTCGCCATCGAAAAGTCATCTTTATAACGCGTTAATGCAGTATCGTTGACAAAGTATATTATTTACGCACTACAAGTACAACGATATAGTTGAAAGTACACGCGTGTGTTTCGAAAACTAATCTGTATGATCACCCACGTCGTCATTAGGTTTATAGGTGCATAATAAAAAAAAAAACAATTATCGAATCGGTACGTACAATTTTTACCCCTTTTAAAGTCAAAACCATAGCGATAGGTATTGACGTCATTGCGCATTTTCCAAGAGAAACGAATTAATCAGAATTAATTACGTATTACGGATATAGGTACGAATACATGTACAGGAACGAATCGATTTTTGTGCCAATTTTTTTCCGTTTTTCCGTTATGTACAACACTGACTATTTTCAGACTTTATTCATTTTTTTTTTTTTTATCACGTATAATTAACATTTGAAAAACAAAAAAACTATATCATATAATACCGAAGCGATACAACCGTACTTTACGTAGGGAAAAATCAAAAAAGTTGAAAGGGTAAAAAAATAGCTTTGTATAACTCACCTGACATTGGAATAGCAAACAAAGAGTTTTAGACAGATTATAATTATATTTTTATATTTTTGAGAACATTAACTATAATCGCACGTTCGTTGTGTTTTAACATAGTAGACTGATATGCGATTATGAACGCAGTGATGTCGAGCACTAATCTCGCCAGCATATAACTGCAAAACTCAAAAGAAGTATTAATTT